TATCAAACAACTGACTTAGAATGATACTAGATCTCTATCTTTCACTAATCAAAAAAATCAATTCAAAATGGATGAAGAAGTTACCATACAAAACTATGCTAGTATACAAAAACATAGAGTAATTGCTTTGGAATACTAACATGCACAAAGACTTTTGGTATATAACCTCAAAATCACAAATACAAAAAAAAAAGTATCATTATGTCAACAATCAGTACAGTAAAAAGGCAGCCTACAAAATAAGATTTACGAACTATTAATCCAAGAAGGAATTAACATCCAGGCAAAAATATCATTTGAGCAAGATATTTTTGAAACAAGCCTACTAAAATCAACAGACACTATCTCAAAAGAAAAAGAAAGAATGAATATTTCCAATTGTAGATACAATATGCAAAGGCTAAATAAGATAATATATGGCCTTTAAGTGTTTATATTTGAAAATAATAAAGACTAAATGTGAATGATACAACATAAGATAGAAGAAAACTTTTAAATTTCTTAAAACGGTAAGTAATATAGGCAGAGGCAGACTCAAAATATATCATACTTTTAACAAGTACACATTCTTTTCTTACTCAATATGGAAGTAATTTTTTAAAGATTTAGCTGGGTATGGAAGCACACTGGTAATTAGCCAAATGCAATGAACAAGGCAGGGAATTTAAAGTTCAGCTGTTAAGAGCACAGACTGAACACTCTTGCAGAGGATGAATGTTCAGTTCCTAGTATCCAAAATAAGCCACTCACAACTACCAGTGACTCCAGATCCAGAGGATCCAGTACCTCCTCTGGCCTCCATAGGCACTGCATTCACAAGCACAAAGTCCACACAAATACACATAATTAAAATGTTTTAAATTTTAAAAATTCCCCAATAATCGTAAGACTATACCATATTGAGAAACTACTTTCCAAAAGCATGTAAGCAAGTAATGATAGTTTTATAAACTATTCTACCAAACTTTCAAAGAACAAATTCACTCAATCATATTCTAATATATATGAAAAATAAAGAATTTGCCCATTTTTTTCTCTGTTGCTATTTGGTTGATTTGTTATTGTTACTGCTTTTCTGAACAGAAACTCACTATATGTATAGCCCTGGCTGGCCTGGAACTAGATATGTAGTGGTACCAGGCTGGCTTGGAATTCACAGAGATTAGCCTATCTCTGCCTCCGAAGTACTGAGTAAGGGCAAAAACCATCACATCCTTAAATAAGAATAGTGAAAAGAACAAGGTCAACTTTATTCTAAAAATTACAGGAAAAAAAAATCTTTAAAATGTATTTTTAGGAGCCAATTCCTATGCTTTCTTAGGGTACTGCCCTTATTTAGAACTTTTAGATCTATTTCTACTAGGAAGTTTATGTTAACTGTTTATGTAGGCAACTAAATAGGTCAAGGCAACCATAGTATAACTACATGTAACAGTTCCCCAGGGAAAGCTTAACTAGCTCTATGCAGCTTGCTACAGTATTTGCTACTTTCTTGAAACATCCTGAGCTTTAGCCAGGGTTATTCAATTGCACTGTATCAACCACTATGCATGGAAATAGGCAAACAAAACAGTAGCCATTTAGTATAAACTCTGCCTGGAACTCACAGAAATACACCTCTCTCTGCCTCCTGAGTGCAAGGATTAAAGGCTTGTGCCAGCTCAGACATTACAAAATTAAATTCAGCAGTGTATAAATCACATAGTAAGTTAAAAGTTGGGCCATCACTGGAATGAAAATTTTATTTAAGCTGTCTTTTAAAAAGGAGAAACACAGTATCATTTTGGTAAAGGCATTTGATAAATTATGTAAAGGATTATCAAAGTAGAAATGAATCTTCTAGATCTGAATGTTTTCACTGTTTAAAAAAAAACATGTCAAATCCCTCCCCTCATAAAATTAAATATTAATAATTAAATAAATTAAACATAAAATTAATTTTTATTTTGCTTTTTTCTTTTAATTAATTAATTTATTTCAATTTTATTTATTTCAATTTATTGACTATATCCCCACTGCAGCCCCCTCTCTTGGCTCCTCCCAGTCCTACCCACCCTACCTCTTCTCCCCCTATGCCCTTTCCCTAGTCCCCCGATACCCTATCTGATCCTAGCTTATTAGGTCTCATCAAGGCTGGCTGCATCATCTTCCTCCCTGGCCTAGTAAGACTGCACCCCTCCCCCCGGAGGGAGGTGATCAGAGAGCCAGTCACTGAATTCATATCAGAGACAGCCCCTGTACTCCTTACTAGAGAACCCACTTGGAAACTGAGCAGCCAAGGGGCTTCCTTTGAACAGGGGGTCTAGGTCCTCTTAATTGGACTATCGGTCTCCGCAGGACCCCTAGGCCCAGATATTTTGGCTCTGTTGTTTTCCTTGTGGAGCTCCTGTATTTTGCTTCTTAACTGTGTGTGTTTATCTGTGTGAGTAAATATGTACATGAGTATAGGTGCCTGCAGGGGCCTGACGAGGCCTAGATAACCTGAAGCTGCAGTTTTAGGTAGTTGTGAGGCACCTAACATGGGATCTGATTCCTTGGAAGAGCCAAGGGTACTCTGAACTACTGAGCTCCATCAACATTTGGACTTTTCAGTGACTTAAAAGATATACTTCCAAATTACTGTCTCAGTCATGCCTATGGTTGGAGGGAGGTGAGTGGGATCTGGAAGGGCTTGGGAAATGAGAAAGAATATGATATACTATACTGTATGGAAAAAAAAAACATTTTAAAACAATAAAAAAATTAGACTTTTCTGAATTTTTAAAATAACTTATCCTCCAGACACATTCCTCAAATCTCAAAATAGAACTTCTAAAAATTAGCTTGTTAGGCCAGGACAATATAAATCACTGTTAAAATTTCAGTAACTATGATTTCAAAGAAGAAAAAGAAATGAAGATGTCAAGGCTGCAACCACGGGATGCTCATTTGCCCTATATCTTATAGCGCAGTTAAATGCTTCATTCACTTCTTTCACTTCATTCACTTTCATTTCACCTCATTCACATTCAGCTATATTTGTAGCTATACTATGATATAGCTAAAAACCTAGACATCATTCCAAAGTTATCTTCGTGTGTATATAAAGCTGCCATTTGGTAAGGACATTTCATTCCTTCAACTACTTGAGAAAAAAGTTTTAAAAGGCAGGAAAGGCTCTAGCTTTCTTTTCTAAAAATTCCTTGCCCTTCCGTACACAGTCATTTGAATAGAAACTAGAACTGAATGAAAACTAAGCAGATCCTCAAAAGCGAGAAAACTCCAGGATACAGGTTGAACATTACTATTGAAAATAAGAATTCAAAAATGCAACTGGAAATGATGGCACAAACCTATAATCGTAGCACTTAAGAGTTTGAGATGTGAGGTATCCAAAAAAGAAAAAAAAGACAAGAAAAGAAAGAAAGCCATACCATTACTATAAGACTGTGTGTATGGTGTGCAAAAAACATAAATGAATTATATCTTCAAAATACCTTGTTACAAAAGTATAAATACCAAAAAAACTCAAAAGGAAAGAAAAACGAACACTATTTAATCTAAATTTACCACAGAACTAATTAAAATTTAGTGAGAGGAATGTTTCCAGACCCAAGAACAAAGTTAAGTTACAGTTGGTGAAGAATAGCTAACAACCGATTATGTTAATTTTTAATTCAAATTGTTATTTCCTGTAAACACCACATAAATGGGTATTATTTTTCTTTTATCTTAGTCTGACAATTTTTTTTTTTGCTGTTTTTTGTTTGTTTGTTTGTTTGTTTTTTCACAACAGGGTTTCTCTGTGTAGCCTTGGCTGTCCTGGACTAACTTTTTAGCTCAAGCTGGCCTCGAACTCAAGAGATCCGCCTGCCTCTGCCTCCCTGGATGCTGGAATTACAGGTGTGTGCCACCATGCCTGGCTAGTCTGACAATCTTGTTCATATGATGACAGAAGAGATTTTAATGAACTTGTATTAGTAGAAAAAAATGCCACTACAATGAAGACCAACCAAACAGTAGTTAGTTTGGTTTTCTGTTTTGTTTTTAATGTTGGTGAAGATCAAACACAGGTCCTTGTAGATGTTAGGCAAGCACTTCACAACTTATTTCAATAATCAGCCCTAGAATGCTAAGGTTTTTGTTTGTTTGTTTTGTTTTTCAAGACAGGGTTTCTCTGTGTAGCCTTGGCTGTCCTTTATAGACCAGGCTGGCCTTGAAGTAACAGAGACCCCCACCACTGCCTTCTCCAGTGCTGGGATTACAGGAGTGCCCCACAGCACCCAGCTAGTTTAATACTTAACATTTTAATAAAATAAAGGACAGTAAAATTTACAAATAATCAGAATTCAGTTGGTAATATGGCACACATTTTGGAAAATGTGCAAGGTAACATGGATAGTTATATTTCAGGAAGTTGCCTGGCTCAAAGAATAAGGCTTCTGAGTTCAACTTTAAATTTCTAATTTTTCATTAATAAGCACTTTATCATTAAAGAATGGAGAAAACACGTGTTCTGCATGTACTAAAGAATTATTCTTATTAAAGACAATTGTAATTATGAATATGTTAGAATATATTTCTTAATTTGTGAATTTAAACTTAAAAAATTGATAAACATTCCATATTTTCAATCAGGAGAAAGAGACTTTCCCCATCATCTTACATCTAACTAGACATCTCTTTTAAGTATTTAGATTTAGCATATAGAAAATAAAATAAATATGGAAGTGGTGGCTCACATCTGTAATCCTGGCAAGTGAATATAAGAGTTTTGAGGTAGCTTGGGCTAGAGTATGAAACCTTACTCCAAAAGGGGAGGTGTCAGAGAAAGTAGGGAAGAGAGTGGAAGGGAGAAGATAAAACATTTCAACTATTACATTTCTAATGCTGTTAACAAATCTTTCTCACATTCTCACCATACTAAAACTGACCTGTACTCTTAGCAAAATGTTCTTTAAGGGCATTAAAAATACTGTGATACAGTATTAACATTATCTTTTTCTTTATAGGTCACTCACCTGTTAAACCTAGAGTTTGTAGCTGGAAGAGCCGGCCAAGTTCATAAGGCAAAACCCGTAAATAATTGTCATTTAAAAGCAATTCCCTGTTTCAAAAAAAGTTTAAAACAGTTTGAGTATAATATATCATGCTTTATTAATACATACATTTGTCATTCTTAGTCTTTCTTCTAATATACAATGAGTGATGTTTACATTCAAGGCATTCCTTCATGCTAATCTCAAAATGCTGTGCACTATTATTACAGTATTACCATTACTAAATATTTCTGTGGTTTACTCATTCTGCAAGCTATGTCATCTATTATAACTAAATCATGTCAAAATATGAGAAAAAATAAAAACAAAGACATTCAGAACAAAATAGAATATCACAGAAGCTAATGATAATTAAATAGAAAATATGAAAAGTGGGCTGGCAAGATGGCTCAGTAAGTAAAGACATCTAATGCCAAGTCTATCTATTTAAGCTTGATCAACAAGACCCACAAGGTGGAATGAGAGAATCAACTCCCATAAAGTTGTCCTGACTTCCACACACAGGCAGTTGACTTGTGCATACTCACACACAGAAACAAACACATACATGTTATTTTAAAAAAAGAAAGAAAAGTGTCTGGAGACATGGCTCAGAGGTTCAGAGCACTGGCTGTTCTTCAAGAGGTCCTGAGTTAAATTCCCAGCAACCACACAGTGGCTCACAACCATCTATAATGAGATCTGGTGTCCTCTTCTGGTGTGCAGGGTACATGCAGACAGAACATTGTATATATAATAAATAAATGAATCTTTAAAAAGAAAAGATAAATATGAAAAGATGAAAATGGCTGGGAAGTGGTAGTGCATGCCTTTAATCCCAGCACTCAGGAGGCAGAGGCAGGCAGATCTTTGTGAGTTCAAGGCCAACCTAATCTACAGAGTGACTTCCGAGACAGCCAAGGCTCTACAGAGAAACCCTGTCTGAAAACCCTCTCCACCCCAAAAATAAGAAAGCATAAAATGTACTCTGGGGAACAATCACTAACACAGAATTTATGCACAAAATTACAAAAAGAAAAGATAGCAAAGATCAGCAAAGACAAACAAAAAAAGAGAAAACAACACAGATAAGATCTAAATTTGTAACTGAAATTTTGAACAGATTGTAAAAAAAAAAAAAAAAAAAAAAAAACAACAACACCTTAAGTAGTAAAGGACAAAAAAGTAAGCATTCATATAACCAGGTAAGGGATGATAAAGGATTAAATAAATAATACAACAATTATTAATTTTAAACATGTAAGAGCAACACCTTATTACTCAGTAAGTAAGATCAAAAAGCAATTTGTGTTTTGAAAACAGTTAATAAGATCCTAATAAGTTTTCTCCTTTGGTAAATGTAGTGTAGTGGCAGTGACTGCTGTTCCTAAACTTGGGAGGCCAGAGCAGGACTGCTATAAGCTGAGGCCGCGGGGTGCTACAGGCAAGATCCTGCCTCAATAAGGAAGGCTTATTGAACTATAAATCATCTTAATCAAGTTTTTAGGTTTCAATTAACAGTTGTAATAAAAAATATAAACATAATTTTATAATAGAAGTTTGTTCCTAAAAGTTGTTTCTAAGCAATCATATTTTCTAAAGTATTTCTGATTAGTTTTATTAGTAAGACTTTTAACCTCCCTCTATCTGAAGTCTGTCAAAAGAAACTCATAGCAGGAACCAACAATGCAAAGAAAAAGAAACATTAAATGGAGGTCAACTCACACACTGTGCTTAAGACCATTTCTATTTTGTTTATATTCACAGGCATGGAAATCCCACCATAAAACAGCATTCCATAACTTTCTTATTTGGCAAATTTGTAATTTTTTTTTCAAATCTGTAATTTTACATAATGAACATGTCTTCAATGCTTCCTCACCTGAGAGACACCATGTTTCCTAGTTCTGCTGGTAAACTTCTGAGTTTATTGGATGACAGGTCCAGGTAAACCAGATTATGAAGCTTGGCAATATCAGGTGGAATGCGAGCAAGGTTATTGTCATTTAGGTGCAGTGCTGTCAAGTGTGTCAATGACCACAGCGATGTACTTAAGCTCCGCACTCTACCTAAAAGACAAAATACTAAAGCATAAACTCTAGACCCAAGAGAAAGTCTGAATCCCAAGGACTGATAAGTGCTATAAAAGGTAGCAAATACACACAGATATCACCATATGTTTGACATTTTTAACTTTGTATCTGAAGTTATGTGACTGCTAAAACATCTAGCCTCCTTTAATTTCACTCCATTTTCAACAGCTACTCTTTTTCATGGGATTGAGGGGGGAAGGGGAGAGAGAAACATTGAAAAACAGTCAGAGTGAGAAAGAAAGAGAGCAAACAAGAGAAAGAGAGAAACAGACAGAGTTGCTAACCTCTCTCAGAGCCAGATCTGAATGATAAAACTTGAGGCTGAACTGAACTTTGGTGGTAAAAATCAGCTTGAACTTTTTTTTAAACAGTCATCACAAAAATATTTCTCACACACTCTTATGAAAATTATTGAGTGTAAGATATATATCTACATCCAGGGTCTGGACTGGTCAACAAGCTTTAAAAAGATACCTGATAAAACAGGGTCAGATGAAAGGGGAGAAGGTCCTCCCCAATCAGTGGACTTGGAAAGTGGCAGGGAGGAGATTAGGGAGGGAGGGTGGGATTGGGAGGGAATAAGGGAGCGGGATACAGCTGGGATATAGAGTTAATAAAATGTAACTAATAATAAAAAAAATTAAATTAAAAAATATTTCTCACACACTCTGAAAATTATTGAGTATAAGATATATCTATATCCAGGGTCTGAACTGGTCAACAAGCTTTAAATAAACAATGAATTACTATTTAAAACCAACTTTAGATTAGCCACCAGGAAAACCATTCTGTCACCAAAGGAAACATTTTCCCTAAATTTCTGATGTTACAATTAGAGATTAAAAACTATGGTTTAAGATTTTACATGAAATGCAACATACTCAGGGAAACAGTTTCACATTAAGGTCTGTGGGCAATGAGTATAAAGCATGTACTATATCAGAAGACCCGTTTCAGAGTTCTAATTTTTACCACTTATTAGCAATATTGACCTGGGCAAATCATCTAGCCTCAGGTTTTATAAAATGCGATGTTATCTTCTCTTCTAAGTTATTAGTATTGTTGTTTTGTGATGGAATCTCATGTAACCCTGAATGGCCTCAAATTTGCTATGTACCTGAAGATGGCCCTTGACCTTCTGATCTTCTTGCTTGTACCTTCCAGGTGATAAGATTGTAGGCATGCACCCCACTTTATTTGGTGATAGAAATTAACCCCAAGAAAAGAGTTTACAAATGCCAGACAAGCACTCTACCAACTGACAGCCATCCCAGACATGATTTTAACTGATTATAAAACATAACTTATATAAAAGTTATTTTGTAAAATTGAATAAAAGCAAAGCCATTGTTTTTACCCTGTATTTTGCTTCTAAAGAAGTGTATATATCTGTGTTTGTGTGGGTATGTGCCCATGAGTCCAGGTGCTTTCAGAGGTCAGAGTTGTTATCTTCTCCAAGAGCTGAAGTCAGAGGTGCTGATGAGGCACCTGATGTGGGTGGTAGAAACCAAACTTGTGTGTCCTTTAGAAAAGCAGTATGTGTTCTTAACAGCTGAGCCATGTCTTAGACCCATAAAGCAATTCTGAAATTATGTACTGCTTTCCAAAATAAATTTAGATGAGAGATGACAATGGAAGCTAGAGAACACAAAGTCTGAAAGGGATAATGTTATTTTTTACATGACTACACTCTGTGTTTATTTCTATCCAGGCTTCTTTCTACCAGACTCTTTCCTCCTATTTATAATCAAATACAAAGTGTCAACTAGAATTTTGCATTTTAATAGAAAAACAAAGTATTTAATGATGAGGCTATGGATAAATGAGAAACTTCCATTAATGTAGGATTTAAAAATCCAATCTCAATCTGGAGAAATTCTGTTCCTCAAAGGACTTTGGTATTTTGAGTTGATAAAACTAAAGGAGTACTCTGGGAATCTGCTATGTAAAATCAAAGCAAGCTACTAACCACCCTATACTATACACAAAAACCCTGCATCACAAGGAATTGTACATGCAGCCCAGACTCTCAGTAGGCCAAGACTAAGAAATCTTGAATTAATAGGATGTGGATTGCTCCTATCAGAATAATGAGCATTCAGCCATCTAGTCAGCTCCCTTTTATTTTTATGTACAAGTTAAGTCTTGTTGCTGATACTGTAAGGCCAACAGGGCAGAACACTGACCACATTCTATTCAGAAAAGAAAAATATTTATCTTCTATTTTTAATAAGCTTAATTGTATAATAATTTTAGTTGTCAAAGTAATATGGTTTCTTGTATGTACTTTGTTTAAATTCCTTAACATTAGAGTCTTACATTACATGGTATATTTATCAAAAGTAAGAATCTAACATTGATATAGTACTAGTAACAAAACTTCAGGCTTTATTCAAATTTTACCATTTTCATCTTTCTGTAATAATAATTCAATTCTATGTTAATAATCATGTCTCTTTTAACATTCCTGACCTAAGGCACTTTCTTTTTTCTTTTTTGTTTTTCATAATCTTGATAACTTTGAAGTGTATCAGCTGGATATTTTATACAATGTCCTTCAGTTTTAGTTTGATAGCTTTTTTCATTTTCAGAGAGGGTTCATTACAAGTTTTTCAAATCATATTCCACTTTAACAAATTCTGAGAATGTCCTATTTATAACTAGCAGATGTCTTTACACAGACAGAGTCATATAGGTTTCCTTCTTTGCCAGCACTGAGATAAAAGAAGGATAGCAAAGACTTTAATTTACAAAAAACTTACTCTGGAAAAGTCAACACAAAATTTATTATAGAACCTAATTTTACTCAGAAACGAAATTCCAAATACCTTTAAATGTAATGTAGATAGCAATCCTTGCAGAAGACAATCTCAAAAGAGGGAAAATATGTTTAAAAGATCAAAAAACATTAGTGCCTCAGGATTCTTACATATTTCCAATTAGTTCATTCAGTTAAAACACAACAACAAAGAGTATAAAAATATAGCAACACTCTTGACAATTGTTGCCATTATATTTCAGATACAATGCTTCAGATTCTACTCACCCGAGATTTCTAATTCTGCCCAGTGAGATTTTTTCCCATTGGCTACCTCCTCTGCTGACATGATGGTATAAATTCTGCGAGGATCTGGAGGATCATATTTTTCCTTTGGCATCCCTATTAGTCTATGGGGAAAAAAATAAGAACAATAATTATTACAGTCAAGGACAGAAAGATGGCTCAGGCAGTTCAAGTGCCTGTTGCATAATTCTAATGATCTGAGTTCAAGCCCAGGTACCCATGGTGAAAAGAAACCACCAACTCTGGAAAGTTGTCTTCTGACAACCTTCCCCCCTACAGCTTTATAAAAATCATTACTATTGCTATAGTTATTTGAGGAAGAAAGGGAATCAATGTGGGGGATAGAGAATATGAGCAAATAAAAAATAAATTAAAAATATTACATAGTATAGGGAAAAAAAGAAAACATGCTAAGTTTTCTTTTTCTCTCTTTTTCCTGTAAGAATCTCACAAATACTCAGAGGCACCCTCCAAGGCATCATCTGTGAGTCTAGAGAAAGCTGACTTGCCATTTCCAGGACCTCTCAAATGAGTTTACATCAAAGGGGTGCCACAACCTTTTCCATTTCCCCTGTCTCCTGCCAGGGAACCTGAGAATTTGGCTGCAGCTGAACTCCCCCACATTCTCAGAAGGTGACTCCCTCTTCTGCCAAGTGGTTTCTGATTCTCTTCTGAGATCCCTCCACACTGTCTCTGGTGCTGTGACCTGAACTCACTCAGAGCCTCTACCATGTTGCTGCCCCTCTGTCCATGGCATTAATAACTCTTGTAAGAAACGCCTTGCTCCCCCACAATATGTCTTGGTGTACTCTTGAACCACCCCACCATGCCAGCTCAGTCATTTTATACTACATATTCTCACTTGAAAAACACTATGATATTCCAGGCTTTTGGAGAGGCTCATTAACAGACACCTAAGGGGAAAATGCAAATGAACAACCACACTAGAATCTGCAGAGAACAATGTGTTGCACCCCAGTTCCTTCCCGTTTACTAAGCAGTACTGCCTTCCTAGAAAAGCTTATCTTACAACTAGTTTCCTCAATGGAACTCCAAGTAGTCTAAGAGAATCCTGCACTTCTTTCCTTCAATTTCCTTTAGGTATTTCATACCTATGACTAAGAGCACATGCCTTCCCCCAACATTGACATTAGTTTACACAATGCTCAAGACTGATGCTATGTTTGCAGAAATAGGATCCTCGCTCCTGCTGATCATAAACAAAGTTAAGATATAGTCCAGACTGTTTCACATAGCCTTCCCACTACAAGGAAAGCTGACCTCATAAGGCAGTCTAGAAAACAAATAAAAGGCAGATATCTCAATAAATCACACATGCAGAACCCACACACAACAAACTAAGTTTTGTCTTCTGTTACTTGCTATCAACACATCCTAATCAGGTAAATGCGTATCTTGATTTTCTGGAGTTAGGCTTAATTTATACCTCTTGTTCTGAGGTAATTCTTGTCACTCCCTTTTACTCTCAAAAGTACTTAACTAGGCAAATTACAAAGCCAGGCTAATGGAAACAAAAATCATGTGATTGTCTTCATAACCACACAGCACAATCATGAATGGTGACAAAATCAACCATAAAACCACTTCATATGTGCTAAACATGAAGCAAATGGCAAAAATCCCTGAAAATAACTTTATGAGGGGTCCAATACAAAACTTACTGCTTTTTTAGCAGACAGAAGATAAAATCCATTTCAGATCAAACAGCCACGTCTGTCTAAGTTCCTACATGTTAACCTTATCACAAATACATATTAGTCACTTTGTTTTGTCAGTAACAGATCTAACCCAGGGACTGGACATGCCATGTAAGATTTTTACTACTAGGCTGCATACTATGCATCCTCTAAAGCAACCAGTATACATTGGTTCTTTGCTCCTATTTCTTTGTTCTTTCTCATATGTGCCCTTAATCCAAGTACCCATATCTGTGGCTATTTCTAAGTTAAGAAACAGTATTCCAAATATGAGTTACTTTCAGGAGGTCTAAAATTTGTTGTAAATCAAAAATAAAATGAAGTAGTATTCCATCAATATTAAGAATCAAAGCTAGTTTATCAGCTCACAATCAAAATTTCTCATATCATTTTTCCTTCTACTTAAAGAAGTAGAGGGCAAGTTTCATCATTAATAGTAAAGTTCCCCAGTCCCTAGATTAATTCTAATCTCATCGCATTGTGCTATTTGTAGTTACAATGTTAGAATAGAAAAAAAATCTTTCTGGTCAAGAAAACAGAATCTTTGTCCTAAGTAGAGATCTAACATTCCAACTGAGCCAGGTCAATCACCTGGTCCAGGAACCATACCTATAAAGGCAGGCTCAACTAAGCTATACTAAAGATAAGAGAAATAAAAGGAACAAATTAAAATATAAATTAAAATAAACTATACTTTTCAATTCCTGCTTCCCACTCCTTGCAGTCACTGTAAGATACCATGGTCTGCCTTTCCTGAGGCCCGAGTTAGAAAAGTGTAAGTTTGCCATTTTCTTTTCTCTTGGGTGCTGCCCAGAATGTAAATATGCTTTTTTGATACTTTAAATGTCCTTACTCTTTTCCTAAAGCTTCTCTCCCTCCCTGTTGTCTGTCTGACCTCCATGGCAGCTTTAATGACATGGTTTTTTCTTCCCTTCTCGGGCAACTGCTGAGGATTTACAGCTTACCTGCCTTGGGATGTTTTTCCTTTAAACTCTAATAAAACTACCTTTGAGATTCCATTTAAGTTCATTCTTAAATTCTTTTATTTATGACACTAAGAACTTAAAAGGAGTCCCTGATTTTCTCTGCATCATCTGGCAACCCAGCTGACACCCCAAAGCTTTAGTAATAATTGTCATACACCTATTTTTCTATAAATCTTCTATAATTATTTATAAAGCACAGGAATATAAGCATCTTCCACCAAGAGAAAACTTGGTATCTACCACATTTGGCTTATTTTAACTAGTTCTCAAAGTGTTCAGCTATTGAAAGTTTTATTTTCTACATACTATAACATAAGTGAGTTTTGTGTGAAGTTTTCCATTCTAAGATTATATAAAAGTATTAAGCAAAGCAAATAGACCCAAATCTAAGCACATGATACATAATCCTTATCTACAGTTAGGATGGATGAAAAGCATGTTTCATTAATGTTATATCCTTATAATAAAATTTAACAGAAGGGGAATATGATCGATGTTATACATTGTACAGGTTAGATTTTTACCAACGTGACACAAGCTAGATAGAGTCATCTGAAAAGAGGAAACCTCGGTTGAGAAGATGTGCTGGTTGGTTTTAGACATCTGGGAAGAGAAAATCTTAATTGAGAAAGTACCTCCTTAATATTGTCCTGTAGGCAAATTTGTAGGGCATCTTCTTAATTAATGATTGATGTGAAAAGGTCCAACCCATTGTGAGTGGTGCCACCACTCCTAACCAGGTAGTCCTGGGGTTTATAAAAATACAAACTGAGCAAGCCAGGAGGAACAAGCCAGTAAGCAGTGTTACTCTATTGTCTCTGCTTCACTTCCTGCCTTTAGATTCCTTCCTTGAGTTCCTGTTCCGACTTCCTTCAGTGAAGAACTGTGATGATAAAGTGCAAAGAAATAAAACCTTTCATCGCCAAGATGCTTTTTAGTCATAGCATTTTATCACATCAGTAGCATCCCTAAGACAGCCTTCATGAAATTGCCTTTATGCAAGTCTGTAGTGGGTATTTTCTAGATTAATGATTGATGTGGAAGGGCCCAGCTCACTGGTAGCATTTTATCCCGAGGCAGGTAATACTGAGTGGTATAAGAAAGCAGGCTGACTAAGCCAAGGAGGGAAAGCTCTCCTCCCTGGTTGGTGCCTCCAGGTTTTCTTTTTGAGCTCCAGCCCTGGCTTCCCTTAATAATGTGAGCTGGAAGTATAAAATTGGTAAGCCTTTTCCTCCAAAGTTGCTTTTAGTCTTTAATCAATATTTTATCTTATAAACATATTAAATAAAATACAAATAACTGAAATTTATTAAAATAATCATTCAAATGTTACTTAAATCTGTACATGTGATGCTGATCATGTTTTTTAGTAACTGCACATACAAGCCAGTTTAGGGTTTAAATACTGAGTGATGAGCAGTTTTCATCCAAAGAAAGAGAAATGGTTTATTTTAGAAAACAGTAACAGCTAATTCTTCACATTTTCTTTTAAAGACGAGGAAGAAGTATTTTTAGTGTTGTTGTGGGGGAAAGGGGTTGTTTCATACAAGCTCTCACTGTCTATCTCAGACTGGCCTCAATCTCACAGCGTAGTACTGGCAGCCTTATGTTCAAAATCCTCCTGATTTAGCCTTCCAAATGCAGGGACTACAGACATGTGTCATCATATCTACTTGCATGGGTTTTTGCTTTGTCTGTGTTTATTTGCTGTCATCGTTGTTTTGTGTATTCTGGTTCTTACAGTGGTAGGCAGAGTCTCCTGCACGGTAGGCAATTTACCCCTTGAATAACAATTCTAGCCCTTGAGGAAAATGTTAAATTGGTTTTCCCAAGTTTCCAATTTTTACAACATCTTACATCAATTTCCAAAGGACAATAACATTAGGTTAACCTGGAGGCCCTAACAAAACAAAATAAACTAAAAGCCACTTAACCACAATTTAACTTCAGTCTTTAAACCCTGCAAGACTAGGAAAGACACTATGTGGTTCTCTATATACGAGCTACACAAGCTGCTTTGAACTTCATCTATTTTGTTCTTTATTACACCACCTATGCAGCCCTTGGATACCCCATTGTCGAAGTTCTGAGATTAGTCATCTGTCCTGAATAAGAAAGTTATTACTGCTTTTTAGTTCTTCCTCAAATGTGTGCAAACATCTAAGTCTTATCACATCTGCCCTTTCAAAAGTTGAATTTTGTCTGTGTAGTTCAGCATAATTTTGTTGGAGATTTGTAGAGAAGGCTACAATTCAGCAAGAGTAATTCACAATGAAAAGACTAACAATCCAAATCTAAACTACAAATCATTAAACATGTACTGTACATAAACATGTACATTAAACAAACTGTTTCTACAGATATTAAATGATCAACATACAAAAGTTAGTAAAAACTATA